GACCTTTTCAACCCCTGAGGTTGGTACGTTTTGGGCCATATAAACTGCTTGGCGTCCCTTGAGCTAGGCTTTCTAATTCCTGTTGCGCTTTCCTTTTTTGCTCTGACCTTTTCAACCCCTGAGGTTGGTACGTTTTGGGCCATATAAACTGCTTGGCGTAGTTCCCGTTGTGTACCAAAATGTCGTTGCTGTTTGGGTGGGCCTTCCAAGCATACTGTGATGCGTAGAACTCATTGACCTCCAACTCTTTCCTCAACCATTCAAATTTGTTTGTTGAGGTAATATCATCCCCAGCTGAAGTAGCCTGCTTCAGGTTGCGTAGATGCTTATGATGCGCCAGACGTAGTTCACATTCGACGTGTCTTTCCCACTTCAGCTTGTGTACCGTTCTGATCCACTGGGCTAGCGTTTCCAGTTCCTCCTCCGGTTCCTCCTCCTCCTCCGCATCCTCCCATTCCTCCCCTTTTGTGTCTTCTCCTGTGTCTTCTCTTGAGTCCTCTCCCGAGTCCTGTGACATTCTAACATCTTCCCCGCTATCCATATCTTCTTTTGAGTCATTCGATGGATTTGCCATTACGTTTTCCCCGCTGTCCATCTGTGCTCTGCCTGATGGGCTGTTACCTGCTGATGGTGAACCTGGGCGTGTATGTTGGTCCGAAGAAGAAGATGACGAATCCTCTGCCTCCGATGGAGTTATGTCCATCCCCTCACTCTGTGCCTTGGCCTCCCCTTGCCCCTCTTCTCTCGTGCCTGATCCATGGACTTGGCCTTGCGACATTGAAGCTTCCTCTTCCCTCTTGCTCGTATGAGATCTTTTTGTGTCGTGGCTCGCAATACCCCCCGTAGAAGTTTCTGTGTCACTCATCTTCCTTTTGAATGCCCCCTGTGAATCCCCCTCCTCTCTTGCCTTGCTGAACCTTGTCTCTCCTGTCCCCTCCCCGCGCAGTCCCTCACTTTGACTCGAGGTTTTGTTGCCCTCCACTTCTTCTTCTTCCTCTCTCCCCTTGCCCACCTCCGCTGATTTCTCAGCCTCCTCCCTCGCTCTTTTATTCTCTAAAAAGGCCATTTCAGCTTCTTGCCCCAGCTTATGCAGTTCGGCCATGGTTTGCAAACGGACTTTGTCATCCAGTACTATGTCCTTGTCTATCATCGGTTTGTGGATGTAGCCCACATCTTTGTCCTCCATACGCTTTGCCCCTGCTAGTCTCCAGCGGCTGTCATAAGGTGGGTAGATGTCTGGCTTCAGCGTGGGTGTACCGCTCAGGACCCATATCCATCTTGGCGTCTTCAGATTGTCGCCGAAGATCCAACCTCTGTATTGTGCTAACATTGATTGTTTTAGTTATGGTTGCCTCCCCCCCGAACCTGCGTTCGAACCAGTACTTGATTGCAGACAATGCATTCCCAAGTGTCCCCTTGCTCTGCACTTGAAGCAGAATGGATTGGATTTAGAGGATATGAACACCGTGATGCGCACCGTCCTTCTTCTGAAGATCCATACCTCGGGGAATTTCGGCGGCGCCCCGGATTTCACTTCCAGGCACGCTACCCTGGAATCGTGGTTTTGAGCCAGAAAGTCGGGATTTGCCGGTAGCCACTCTATGATGGGGTTGTTTGGGTATTCTTCCTTCAGGCGCTGCTGCACGAGGCTGTGCATCCCTTCTGAGAGGTTGTCAAACTGCACCCAGAAGTTGTCCCTCATCATTGACTGCCTGTGCCTTGAAGCCTCCGCTGGTGGCGGCTGAGGTGGTTTCCATGCTTGGATCGTCACTACCGACCCGTGGCACCTGAGGGAACCCAACGACCGCAGGTATTGAGCGTACGCCGGATCCACGCAGACTATCATGACCGTGAATCTTCCCCGCTTGTAATATGAAACTTCTGGTTCAATCCCTGGAATGTTCTCTAGGCCCCTGAGTCTCTCCATTACCCATTTCCTTTTTTCGTTCAATGACAGCTCACGATTCTTGCCCGAGAAGTTGAATAGCACTGCGTGCCTT